GGCCTAATATTCGGGCTCGTTGTTCAAGCACCCCTTCTACAGCCCAAACATGAAGGGTGTGTAGCTTCCTTCCAAGGTTATATAGAGGATTCTCTAGCTCCCAAATTCTAGGAAACTTCATCTAAATGCATCTTCCACTCAAGGGGATATTGAACCTCCAAGACCTTGTCGTCTGGGAGGTCCTCTCTGATTGGCTCACTATCAGGTAGGAGATGAGCACCAGAAAGTCTGGCAAGGCTTGTCCTTTATCTGCTTCTTGTGGTACATAAGTGATGTCGAGTTCGATCAACAGTAGCCCACTTTGCCAATCGGCCAAAAAGTAACAGACAAGTCTTGAGATATTTAATATGGTCAGCTCGAGAAATAAGCTGAATGGGATGCTCTAGAAGGTAGTGATACAACTTTTGCACCACAAACATTAGAGCTAAGGATATTTTCTGGATAGGGGAATTGTTATGCTTGACCCCAGTCATGGTCCGACTCAGATAATAAAGTGCTTCTTCCTTCCCTCATTATGTTGGGATGATAAAGCTTCTAAAGACCTTTCTAATGTGGCCACATGAAAGATTCAATGCCTATCTGGCACTGACGCATTCAACAATGGGTGGAAAGGCATGTTTTCTTCATAAGTTTTGAGAATGGTTGACACATTCCAAAGAGGTTTGAGATAAATCTCCAGATTTATGCCACCCTTTCCTGCAATGATATTAGCTGCGTTATGGTTCGACAAAGGGAATCTCCTAGACAGGTTTGATATTTAGTAGGTCAATTTCAATTCCCCTATGCCTTACAATGAAACCCTAAAACTTACCAGACCTTACTCCAAAGGCACAATTCAAGGGGTTCATCTTGAGTTGGTGCTGTCAGAGTTTACATAATACCTCCTCCAAGTCCCTTCAATGTGTGACGCAGTTTTTGGACTTCAGTACCAGGTCATCAACATAGCCGTCTACCACATCTTGCAAGATATCCTTAAAGATGACGGTCATTGCTCACTTATATGTTAAATCGGCGTTCTAAATCTGAATGACGTCACTTTGTAGGAGATGATTCCCTTGGTTGTTTAGAAGGTCGTAAGTTCTTCATCTTCAGGGTCCATTCAAATTTAATTGTACCCCGAGTAACCGTCCATAAAGGAGAAGGTTTCACAAACAGCAGTTGAGTCTATCATGACTTTTGGTATAGGCATGGGGAAGTCATCCTTAGGGCAAGCTGCATTTAAGTCACTATAATCGATACACGCTCAAACCTGTCCATTTTTCTTTTTAACACGAACGACATTAGCTATCCATTTAGGATACTGAACTTCTCTTATGCACCCTGCTAAGAGGAGTTTTTCAATTTCTGCTTCTATCTTTGGAGAAATCTTAGGTAGGGGTGTACTGGCAAACGGTGGACAGTGATCGTTAGATACAATCCCAACATCTCTTTACATGTACACACAAATACATCCTTGATCACTTCCAAAAGTACAACATATTTCTCCATTTCCTTTGAGATTAAGGATTCATTGAGGAAAGTGGGACTAGGATACTCTAGGTTCCCATGGTCTATTTTAACTAATTCATCCACAGTGGCCTGACCTCCTTCCTCAAATTTCTAAGGGGTGTCCTCTGCTTTTGCCACTGAGACATTTTCATAATCAGCACCCTCCTTAGCTTGTTCTTGAGAATCCATGGCAAGATAGAGCGAAGGCCGCAAGGGGTTTTCTTCCCAATGTGGAAGGGACACTAGTGGCTTGTTGCCACCAGCCCCTGCTTCCTTGAGGGCTTCGTCTGACCAGTGTTCGTAAAATTGAACTGGAACGGTTAACTGGACATAGGGACGGAAGCGGTTTAACCGACCTAACCACTAAACCAGCCAATTCAACCGTTCTAACCAGGCAAGTCTCGGGCGGCCAAAAAAATAGTTGAAAAGAATAAAGAAAAAGATACAAAAAAACATCTACTAAAATATGAAAAGCATATAAATAATGATTAAAACAAAACACATTCAAACGAAGTTGAAAATTCATGAAAAACATGGATTTTAAAAGTGAGTATTAATGACGAAAATAATTTTTAATATTTACCATAATGTAAAAAATATCAAAACATGTATTACAAATCAAATTCCTTATTTTTTGGATTTTATATACATTTTTTTTAATTTTTATTTTAAAATACCGACCGATCACCAAAACCGCCTGAAACTGGAACTGATAAGGGACTGGTTCCGATCTAACCGGGCGATTATCGATTAGATCGCCCAATTTTTCTAACAATGCGCCTGACATAATGAGGCTAGAATCCTCATAGGGCTCATGTTCCCTTTGTTTAAAACTCAGGGGTTCTCTTGGGTTGGAGTTAGAGTCATACCACTAATCGTCAATCGCAATCTTAGTGACATTATTAGTTGTCGCCCTCCCTGGTTTTATTCATATCTCAAAAGGGCAAGAATATCCTACCCCATGGTTGACCTTGTATTGGAGACTATGTTCTTCTGCAGCCTGAATGGTGCAAGTAGGCCTTTGTCAACCCTAGCTCTTTGCGAAAATGAAACAAAAAGCCCGTTCTTAAGACCATGAGTTCTTCTTTTTTCGTGTTTTTGGAAGAAGAGATGAAAACACGTGTTGCGCCCCTTTTAGAGTGCGTACGTTTGTGCGTACGACGGTGACCCTAGTGCCCATTAGGATAAGGGTTGGGTGATGCGGTGTGTGCGGTTTGAACCAACGAAAAAAAAGATTTGAGGTAAGGCTTATCTTGTGATGATAGGGTTGAATGCACCTGAGCAAGTTTGCTCTCTAAGATCCCGCAGAAAGACAAGCTTGCCCTCTGAGATCCTACCGCCTTGGAGCACCCGCGGAAAGCCTTAAACCTTTTGGCTCGGTTTGGACTCGATTGATGTGGGCACTAGAATGGTTCGTGTCGTGTAGATCTTTAGATTAATCCCTTAGGCTTGGAAAGGTATGTGATTGAGTGAGAGGCTTGGTTGCGTTAGGGATGAGTCTAGATTAGTCTTAGTGGGTCAAGGTTTGGTAGGTTAGGCTTAATAGGTTAAGGTTTGGTTAGCTAGGCTTAATGTGCCATGGTTGGGTAGGTGGTTAGGCTTAGAGTGAGCAGGTTTGGTGGGCCCTGGATGAAGATCCGAGGTCTTTTTTGGGGAGTTTTTCAGTTATTTTTGGCTTCTGATTTTTCCATTTTCTCTTAAAAATATTACTAAAAATTTACACGAAGCATCTTATAGTCAAAGTAAGCAGATCTAAAGATCGAGGGCCCCATGGTGGGTGCCAAGCTGTTTACGGGCTAATTTGGATCGATCTCTTATGTGAGATCAACTCAAATTCTTGCACGACAAGTTAAATTTTTAGTTCAGTAGAGAGAGTTGGGTTTGCTCAAATTATAGATTGAGAAGCATCGCAGATTGACCAGATCCAGTTCTCTTCTAAGCCTATTGGTAGCTCCAACTTCAAGATCTGTTTACTAGACCTTAAAAGGCTTAAATTCAATATAAATCCAAAACTAAAGAAGTAAATAGAAAAATAAAAATAAAACATAAAATAAATAAATAAAAGAGATAAAATATCACATACCTAAGAAATTTGGAGTTAGGGCTTGTATCAAGACCGTAGGTTTTACATCTTTGGGTGCCTTCCCTTGCTTTCTAGAAGCATGGCTCTAAGGGTAATTTGGATCTGGGAGAGCTTGTTTTTAGGATTTTGATTTGTTGATAAAGTTTGAGAGGATCTGGGCTTAGGTTCTCTAGCCTATCATTTTCTAGGGATTTTTTCTAATTTTCTAGAGGTTTTTCCTAATTCTCTTTGGGTTTTAGGATTATTCCTATTTTTTAGGAATATTTGGATGAAAGTATTATTTTCTCTAATTTTTTAGGACTTTTTTATGTTTTTCCTAACTTTTTTAAGTATTTGCCTAATTTTCTAGAGGGTTTTCGTAATTTTCTTTGATTTTCAAATGCTCTCTAGGACTAAAATGTCATTGTTTGGAACCATTTTCCTCGGGCCATAACATTCCAACTATAAGTCAAATTTAGATAATTCTTGAATCGTTGGAAAGCTTGTGGCCTCCTCTACAATTTGATACTAAATTTGCTTAAATTTGAGTTATTTTTAAAGGGTCTACAATACTAGGACTTTAAGGTCTTATATTCAAGTTTTTGGGTATCTAATTGGTGTTTAGTTCTGTTTTCTGAGTCCATAAAGCTCACGGCTCTCTAGGATGACTATGTGAGGGTATTAAAATAGGTTTTGGTTTATCTTGGGATAATTCTAATATGTTTCGGTCCACTATAGTTCATTAGGATTAATGTGATCCTAATATCTAGGGCAGTGTTTACATAGAGAAACGGATTATGTTAAATAACATTTTTTAATAACATATTGGCCTTAAGTTAATAGAAAATAATTTATTAAGCTTGTGATACTTCTAATAAATCAATAACTTTTGATCTAAACTGTCTTTTTTGTTAGAAATTTTGCAATGGGTGAGTTATTACCAAAAAAATCTTCTTTATTAAACAAGTATCAATCTCCAATTGATAAAATGTTCAAGGAGTGGTTAAAAAGTGCTAATTTTCAAATTCCTGAGTTCCGTACTTCCAAAGTCGAACCAAAAAACAAAGAAGCATTCTAAAACAATAAAAAAATCCAGATGTATTTCTCAACAAGTGAAACAAATTTCTAGCTTTTCCGATTCTCAGGTCTCCAAGTTCCCATGGGATTACCAAACAAGTCAAAACAAGTTTCCAGTTCTCCCAGTTCTCAGGTCTCCAAGATCACACGGGATTTCCATATCCTCGTTATCAAATGTGTCCTAAAGTAAAACTCTGGGTACTCATCGCACCCAAAAGGAAGCTTCCGGGGGTGTACATTAAAGCGCTGCTGTGAAGTTAATTTCGAATAGAAAGAAAAAATAAGCTGCATTTTGGGCCCATTAATCAGCTTTCTCAAGCTTTTATTTTGCTCATTCCTTGCTTCAAACACTCAAAAGGTGTTCCCTCAAAGAAAGAAAAGACGGTCCATTTCTATCAACTCATATTCCTTTATGAACATAGCAACACCGATCCAAACATACACCTGAAAATAGTACAAAGTGAATCGTAGCCTGTGGAGCTTGAAGCCATGTCTGCCACATTAATAGGCCTGAAACTCTCATTGAACACATACCCAACCCATAGGAAGATCCCAGATCTTCCAAACCCAAGACAACCCAGTCTTTCTAATCTTCTCCCTTACTCTCTCCGTCGACTGCCTTCCACTCAATTTCTCTCGCGGATGAGCCCTTCCGTAGCCAAAAGAGGCTCAACTCCTCCAATTATGGCCGAGTTCTCGGAGGCCTTAAACAAGAGCTCTGAGAATTGTATAAAGAGGGGGAGAAGAATTGCCCACCATGCCGTAGTTGTACTTAGCTTGATGGTGGCTTTAGGGTCGACGAAGACCGGCATATGTAAGCCTGTGTTCGCGAGAGAGGTGAAGCGAAGCAGGTGGGATGTACTTAGAAAGAATTTATTTTCAAAACTAGGGATAGATGTCAGCCCTGCACTGAGGGGTCTCTCCATGAATACCCTGTACAGTGGGGCTCTGGCACTTGATAATCTTCTAGGGATGAAGAAGGTTATGATCGATCCCCGCTCTTTAAGAAATTTGGAAGAACAATTTAGGAAGCTTCTTGATGAGACGCTCAAGGGAAATCCACAGCTGGGAAATCCACAGCTCCTGGAGTTGCAGGTATGCAAGGCCTCGCTAGTTTTGATTTTCTAACTTACTATCGTTGGGACCAATGCATTTGGATTATAGGAACTCTGTATAATAATGGGAAAATTGGTTAAACTCCTTACGGTTTTGTAGCGCTATTTTCTTGAATTTCAATTTAAAATATCAAGGAGGGGGATGACATATTGGTGATTTTCATAAACAACACGGGAGGAGGGTCCTTTGAATTCATGATTTATTTCTAATGTTCGTACCTTCCAACATTAGAATTCCCGGTTTTAATTGGGAAAGTATAGAATGACACCATTTACCTTTGGTATAAGGTGGTCACATTAATCTTGATCATTGGTTGTGAAATTGGGTGGCTGTAATTATTTCATTGACCAAGCTCAAACTTCTAAAGAATTTTTTTCGAACTTTGTGATACATCCAAACTGTCAAATTTCACATCGGATGGTTGTAAGTAATTGTGACCATCTTGTATCAAAGGTAAATGGTTTCATCGTATATAATTCAAAGGTAAATGGTTTCATCGTATATAATCTTTTTTTAATTTTGAGATTGTATACTATTATTACAAGGAGGTCACAATCACTTCTAGCGATTAGATTTCAAATTGGATGGCTTGGGATGCGTCACGAAGTTTGAGAAATTTCTTTTGAATGTTGAGTATATATTTTTAATTAGTATATTATAATCCAAATCTGAATCCGGATCCGACATGTACTAATTGGATATGGATCCGAATCTGATCGGATCTGCCCCGATCCTACCCGTTCTCACCCCTACAAACTTGCCACATGGTGAACCAGAGGGAGCATGATATGTGGTACTCCTGCACCTATTTGAAATTTATTCCAAGTGCATTGCGCAGGGACGAGGGACCAAGGAGAGGTCTTGGAGGCCCAGCTTATCACATTAAGTGATAAACTTTTTATTTCTGGGCATTTCTCAATAAACGATCCAAGCCGTCCAATTAAATCCGACTTGGGGAGTCCCTTCCCCCAGATTATTCATCAGCCTCTGGGCCCTCAGAGAAAGTTTACCCATCAAATTTACGGGCACTTTGAATGGTTTCTTTTCCTTTCGACAAGCCTTCCAGTTTTAAGAGGTTTTATAATCTTGAACCCGTAAATAAATCAATAATAGAAAACAAAATGTAACTATAATGAAGGGAATATTCACCCAAAACATATTATTTCTTCACCCCAAAAGAAAAATATTCACCCAAAAAACTACAATTAAGGGAAAACTTAGAAAAGCAGAGGAATAACACTCCCTAAGGGGCATACTCATGTGGGTGTATACTGTTTATTTACTCCCTGGGGTAAAACACAATAAAATAGCAATTTATGATCCTAAATTGAGATATAACCTCTTCAACCCATAGGCTAATATCAGTAAAAAGAATTCCCACTGAAATCTCTATCTAATAGGAAAAAGTAAATATCTCAAGAATGAACAGAGACCATCAAATTTTTTATGGGCCAAGACCTTATTGTCAAAAAACTCGAAATTCAAAATTTTTCTTTTTTGGAAAATATTCATTTAGTGACTATTAAGTGGTTCCCAAAAACATGCATTACAAGGCCGCAAATTCTTCCCGCACTCTTTCTGGGACCCCTCCATAAGACAGGCAAAAGCTAAGCTTGATTATCATTTGCTATGGTGTAGCAATCTACTACCTTGGCTGATTGATCCACCATCCTAGAATACAATTGCAGAAAAGATAATTGCAGAGTACTATTTCCCAGCCACTTATTGTTTCAAAAATAAATGTTACTTCTACTGCCAAGCAATCATCGATACTTCCTCCTTAACTTTGCATAATCACTTTCCAAAAGTCAGAAGCCGGTGACTTCCTTATGAAGAAAAAAACATTAATGGATTCCCTTCATACCCCATACTTTTCTCTCAACCCATATTTGATCTTCACAATGCAAAATTATCCACCGCTATTTTGCTAATAAAACTTGATTGGCCTACTTAAAGTTTCCTTATCCCCAAACCTCCCTTCGCTTTGGGCATGCAGATTTTACTCCAACCCACCGAATGATACTTGGCTCATTTATCCACATTTCTACTAATTGTGGGCTGTCTCTCTAATATACAAAATTCTATTTTGCCATAGCTCTAATGTGTTAGGACATTCTCCACATTAAACACCAATGTGGTTACTCCTCGTGCCTGATTTTGGGTTTGCTACAACTAAGTCGATATGAAAATTCAAACCAAAACTTTATAATAGTTCTTCTCTTAAATCTTTTTTTACTTCTTCTCTTTTTACTTCGATGTTAGTTCCCTAATATATTTTTATTTAACTATGGATTTCTAGCATTTGTTGAACACCCTAAACATTGACTAATCCTAAGTGTATTTTCGTATTTAAGCAAAATTGTTGTGGAGCCTTTCCTAATTTCTTAAAAAGTTTTATATTGACTATAAAATATATAGAAAGTAAAGCTTCACCCAGTGAGATAAAGGTAATATGGATTTTACAACCATTACACTAACTACTTTTACTTAAGTTATCATTTTCATTTTCTCTAGACCATTTATGTTCCCCTTTTTAACTAACAACCGATATCCTTCTTTTTTTTCATGATTTCAGTTTGTATAATCTTAATTCGGCCCGCCTAAAGGACTCTAAAATCAGGGAATTGACCAAATTGCCAAGTGCCGGAGTCGTCGTCCAAATCTTGAAATCCAAACATTGACCTTGATAAGAAATGGGATCAATGTTGATGCAGCTGGCAATTTGCTTCTTTCATTTTAAATTTGAGATTTTGAGCACAAATTTATCTTGGTAACTTGGAAAAACATATAGTTTTACGGTGATAAGATTACTTGTGTAATTTTCTTCTATATTTTAAATTTCAGATTTTAACTCAAATGTAGCATACGAAATTGAAGAAAAACTCATGGTTATGGTAACAACCATGACTGGGTTTTATCACAGTGCAATCAATAAATTGGATAAGTTGGAAGGTGAAGAAGGAAAACATTGTACATGGGGACCATACCCCTTCACCACAGTAAAACTATGAATGGGTAGGTAGATGAGCTATTACAACAATGTGGGTAATATCATCAGGGGCTTAGTAAATTTTGCGGAAAGAACATTTCTCAAGGAAATTGTCAATGAGGAAGTTTATTAATCTCTGAATTCATTAAGAAAGAAATTGATTTGGACCAAAACAAATACCCGATATCAATTTCTGGTCTAAAAAGGAAACAATAATATGATTGAGAGTTTTATAAGCTCAGTAATGAAATTAACAACAATAACAGCGACAACGTTTGTATTGTTGTTGTTGTTCTTAAGCTTCTTCTTCTTGTTATTATTAGTGCCGCTACTACTTAAACTTTTGAAAATATATTTGAAAATATTTATGTCGAATGGTTCGGACAATCTCCCATTACATACAATGATTACGCATATACTGATGCATATCATACTGAAACCATTAGAAAGAAAAATTCCCTTATGTTCACTCAAACTTTTTCTTATGTTGATTATTTTAAATGCAGCGTGTTGCATCAAGGTTGGAAATTGTAAGAGATGAAGATAAAGCTGTTCATATGTTGAGAGAGGCATATGAGAAGGCCATGAGCCTCCAAGGAATTAACAAGAGTTATGCAGAATTGGCCCGTGAGCTTGACATGATGCTTGTGGAAATGCTCATATACCAGGTCATGCAAGCCCTAATATTTGCTCGAAATCATTTTAATTGCATACTTAGGACTTAAAGAAATTTATCAAATTATATAACTTGTGTTTTTTGTTGAATAAGATGGCCATTTTTCTTATTGTACTAACCATTTTGCTAAATCTTTCACACCTTCCTCCTTCCATAACTAGATAATAACGCATGCATTGCACGTTGCTCTTGCTAAGAGTTTCGATATATATATTCAATATTTAACTAAAGAATAATTATATTATTCATTTAGTATTGTTTGTAGATCTTATTTAATTTTCAAACTTTTTTGTTGATTTAATTTTTTGATAAGTTGAATACTATTATTATTGACATTGTTATTTTTCTTATGGAAAAAGTTTATATAGAGCCGAGGCTCAAAACAATCAAATAAAAACCCACCTCAAAAATTTCACTAAAAAGAGGTTGTATTGATGCCCAAATATCCTCAAATTGATTATCTCGACATCAAGATGTGTGGACATGAGAAGAAAATGGGTTTAAAGTTTTGGAAATAGTGCATTTTGTAATGCATTTTTGGACCGTCAATTTTCAAGATTTTCAAATTTTCATAGATGTGCTTAATCTACATTATTTTTTAAGCTTAAATTTTATAAATAGGAAAATATATTTTAAGGCTCTCACAATGGTTTCCAGTATTGAAACCAAATTTGTTGACATTATTTGAAGGTATGCTTTATTTTGTTTGTTTAGAGTATATAGACCACTCCTTTTTTTTATTCGCAGTTTTGTTGGCATAGTAAGTATATAAAGCACTTTCTAAAATATTTTATGAATTTTTCTTCTCCCTCCTATTTCTCATCCATAATATATTATTTTCTGGAATCAAGATTTGGATTAAACATAAAATGTACTTTTTTGGGGAGATAAATACTTTTTCTTCATCACATTTATTACTCATTTTGCATAATGAATCAAATAGAATTTTCAAGTTAATGTATTTTATGTACGAGAGCATCGGGATAAAAAAGAAAGGGAAAAGAATTTGCAAATTTTGGAGGAAAAATAACAACTAGAAAAAAAGAAGGTAATAGTCACATTGATTTATGGATAAAGTTTATATAAGGTTGCAACTTTAAAATGTAGAACTAAAGATGCACCTCAAAAAGCTATCAGAAAAAGGTTGTTTTCATCTTGAAAAACTCTCTAATTGATCATGTCGACATTGAGATGTATGAATATGAAAAGAAACAAGATTTCAGTTCCAAAATAGTGCATCTTACAACATATTATCTAGTTCTTTCTTATTCAAGATTTTCATCTGGTTATAGATCTACTTGATTTTAACAATTTTTTTAGTTTAAAATTTTATAATTAGATATAAAAATAGATTTTTAGATAATCCTAAGAATTTTTTACACCAACATTACATGTTATGATAAAATTTGGATGTGCGCCTTAATTGAATTGTTTAACGTTGCAACTTTATAGAAACCACATCCTTGATTTATTGTCCAACTGATAAATAGATATATTGAGTTACAATAAAGGTTATATTGTTGTGACTTCTTAGTTGAAATCAAATCTCTAGTTCGGCTCATCTCAGAAGAGAGAAAACCGAGAAAAGAGGGTAAATAATAAATAAAAATACAACAAAATCAAATAAAAGACTCAAAATTAAATATTTGATTTCGTAAATACAAGGTGTAAATGAAAATAAAAATAAAAGATTAAGATAAAAACACTTTAGAAAGAAGGAAGACAAATACCAAAAATCAATCTTAGAGATTCTTATTTTAAATTTGGTAGGGCTTTTCAACATCAAAGTCATACAAATATTTTTGGTTAAGCAATGATTGAGAAATCAAAGATTTTCGATTTCAAGTTTAAAAAAATCCCAAAATTTAGACTTTTAATTTCTTCTATTTTGATTTTCATTCTAAAGAAGTGTTTAGTGTCTACTAAGGGCTCAAAAAAGAACAATTTTAAATGAATTTCAAATTATTTTCCTGAGTTTTGAGAGAGAATATGCCAGAATGTTGGGTCTTTAGACTCAAAAAATCTCACCAAAAGAGAAAATTCTTCCACAAAAAGAAAAACTTGTTTCAGATATCAAAATGGACTAAAGGAATTCAATTTTAAAATTGGTGGAAATTGGGTTTGAAAGAGTGTCAATTATTGATCCAAAACAACAAAAAATAGGAATTCGTAAAACCTACTTTTCGCTTTCTGACAAATCACCCGGTTCCAAACTGAATTAGGCAAATGCCAATTCGGCTTGGATTTTATTAATATTGACATTCAGCTATTTTATACATGAGCTTTCATTTCTATAATATGTGTTATACTATTTAACTTCAAACTATTTCTATTCATCTTTTATTTCCATAATTTCATTTCCATAACGGGTGACCTACTGCTTTAACTCATCAAAGACACAAAGGCACATGAGCAACTGTTGAAATTCAAACTTAGCGGCTCTCAAATTATAAAACACAGTGTCCCATAAGAAGTCACTTTAATTGAATGCACCGACACGTATGAAAGAACGACGAAATCATTCGACACGTATGGTCTTCATATCGTGATTGTGTCTTCAAGTGTTGACAATAGACAGAGTGTTTGGGTAATAGTAAGTACACACGTAGTGTCTCCCGAAACTTGACACTAAACGATTCCAAAGGCAACCTCATACTAACCGTTCAATACTTTCAAATGGGAAAGTCATATGCAATATAATTTCTCACAGGAAGATGTAGGTTTAATTTAATACTGTACTAAAGATGGGATTTAGGATAGAGGTCCACCTTCCGGAATTTTAAAAAACAAAAATGAGCTTTGCAAATAGTCCATTACATACATTTTTGTTTGGAACTTTCATTTTTATTAGTCAAAGAATTGAAAATATTTTTAGAGCTTCAAGTTCAATAATTTGAATTTATAATGGATTTGCACTGACATTAAGATTCATTTCACATCAATATTTAAAAATCAAGGAGTCTGCAAAGCCACAACGTGACATCGAAGGTCCTATTATTGCATTCCATTAACATATCAAAAAGAAGATATGGCCTTTAATAGAGTAGAATAGAGAATCAACATTCATGTATCCGACCCCAATTAATTGAAAAATGCTAAAATGAAGATGATGATGAATATAACAGAAAAAAAAAGTTATATAACTAATAAAGGAACTCAATATACTTTTGCATGCTAAAATGTTCTAGCTTCCGCACATGATACCAAAACTAAAAACTTTTCCATCATCTTGATTTGTAAGGTTTACATGCCTCTAATATATTTTCTAATATTGTAAAATAGGGAAAATACAAAGAGGCTTGGTTACGAAGCTGCCTAAATGATGAATTAAGCACGAGCTTTCCTAATGAAGAAGAGGTTAGTGATGGTCGGGGCCCATTTTACAAGGTAATCCCATGAACCCATGACTTTACAAGGTAAATTTTTTTTGTTTTTATATAATTTCATAATCAATGAATTAATATCTTATGCTTTCCTAGATAAACTAAGAATGATAACAGAAAAATGCGAGAAACAAAGCACATGCAACAGGCATGTACCAAAAGATACATGATATATGTGGTTCACCCAAAATGGATTATGTCCATGTCCTTGGAAGGAAAAAATCTACTGTGGCAATGAAGCTTACTATTGGGTGTCATGGGCTTCTATCCAAGGTGCTCTAATTTTAAAATTAAACTTAAAATTCCAAAAATTAGAACTCTGGACATATATTACAATAAGCATTAAGCCTCTTTGGCTCACAAATACATAACCAAAACACCTAAAAAGAACAGTCACAAGACTCCAGAGTGGTCTCCTACTAGTTCAACTCACGACATAGAAATTGGCTATAATACAATTTTTCATGAATAAAATATATCTAAAGCTAGGAAATGGGCTGGGGTCGTGGTGGTAGCATCCCCACACCCAGTTACCACATCGTGGTATCCATTTCTACTGCTAACGCCCCCAATGAACACCTTTAAAATGTAACTCCCTAATCTGTTGAAAAAACGGGTAGGGCCCATCTTCCCCACTGAATTACCCAAAAAAATATACATCTAAAACAGTCACCAACTCGACGAACACTTCAATGACATAAATTACTTAACCAATTAATACCTAAAATTGTCACAATCTCAATTACATAAACATAACCAAAATAGTGCACATAGTCTCTAGATCATGAGAAGCCGTTTTCACAACCAGATTGGCTGATTAAGAACTTAAGTACAACCTCTTCGATTACGCAATATGTTAGCAAGATGTAGGTGGTCTATTCTCGTTCCAAATTTGAAAGGAAGCATAAATGATGAAGACTTAACTCAAATCATCACCATAATCATCAAATGGAATCAAAGAACTATCACGCAACCTTAACGGATGAGTATGAGGTGCGGGGAAACCAATCAAGGTCCTTTGGAGCATAGTTTAGTGATTTGAATGCATTAGGAAATTATGGCAAATGATCCCCTTGAGAAATCAAGTTTAGGTATGAGAATTATGGAAAATATCTTGTTCATTTGTTGGTAAAATGTGTAGGAAATTTCAGAAAAAATATCTCAAGGAAAAGTAATACAAATAGGCAGAAATCTACGTGTAAGCGACAATACCTTGTAATTGAATAGATGCAAGAACAACCAAAGATTCAAGAAAATGGGGTCCTAGGAGAGGATTAAGATGCTCTAAAGCATTAAGAACATTAAAAAAGTCACCTTTGAGCTCCAAGAAGGGATTTTCGATGATATGCCTCAATGGGGATGAGAGATGGAAGGATAAAAGGGGGCTGCCTCTCTTTCTTTCTATCTCTCTCTTTCCTAGCTCACTCAAAGACCATTTGGATAAGGACACACGTTGGGGTTAATTGGGCTCTCCCTTAAAATTTAGGGCTTGGTGATAGACAAATATACAATATGGGAGCTAGGGCTTGGTGATGAGACAAATATACAGTATGATTTTCTTTTTATTATCCCTATGTGAAAACAATTTCAAATTTTCAAAATTTAATTAATTCTATAATCTTGATTTTTTATCAAAGAGTGAGACCCGCAAATCGCTACAAAACTCTCCTCTATTGAAATTCAAATTTAATTTGAAGTGAAAAATGTTTTCTCTCCCAATACCTGACCCCCTCTTACATGTGAAGTCAAAAGCTTACAAAAGTAAGCAATGGGTGGAAGACACCATAAAGAACACTTTAGATCTAGGTTTTCCCTTGCCTTAAAGTTCCCAAAATTAAAGAAAATATATCTTATTTAAAAATATTTAGGATCTTATGAAAATATCAAGGGTTCACACAAATCTCTACATTCACACATGTGAATGAGTCAACAAATCAACAATTTTCAAATTAATCCATGCACAAAAGAGTGGAGCGTCCCACACCTAGGCCTGATTGTCACCCAGACGTTGGCCACTAGGATGATGTCAGTAGCCACACCACCTCCCCTAGGGCCCATTGGCCATTTGGGCCTCGTAGGGTGGTGTCCTTATGTGTCAGGTACCCTAAACAAAAGCTATATGTGCTTTTCAAGGTCCAAAAAAAATTCTAAAACAAAAATTTCTAAAAATTATATCTAGTATTTTTCAATATTTTTTATTAAATGCAATGCATCAAAAACTTCTATTTTGGAAAATTAAGATCCTTAAAGAATTTGCTCTCAACCATTTGGGCATTACACCCTGCTAGGTCTGGAACCCCCAGACGCTTTCTTGAAACTAGCCCAATGAGCCCAAGAGCCACATTCTTAAGCAGTGGCTTCATGCTTGGCCCATCAAACCTAGCCCAATACGTGACTATGGCCCAGACATAAACAAACTTGATTATAGGTGGTTCCCCGAGGATATACACTGTCAGTATGTGGGGGAACTCTTTAGCACATGTGCATGTCTCTCTTTAGTAGATCTACCTGAGTAAGAGCGGAATACCATTTTGCAACTGTCATATGCATATATTGTGAGTAGGATCAATATAGGGAATTGGCTTATGTCCTCTCAGAGCTGATCCTTCTCGCAATGCAAAAATCTCAAAAAGTCTCACATACAAGTATCTAGATCCATATTTAACCATTCCCTTAACATACTGATACATCTCAATTCTAAATATCATGGCATGGCTCAAATCAATCATGAGGCTATCTGACCAATCCTAACAAAAGGGAAAACTCTCGAAAACTTCTCAATATAATGCCCTTAGAATGAGCCTGATGGTTTGGGGTTTAGTGACTCTATGGACACCAACTCTAGATCGCAATTCGCATAGATCCGGAGTAACATGTTTTGATCATTCCATTATGAGTAATAACCATAGAAAATCTCGGTGTCAATCCCTTGAAAGGTTGCAACCCCAACAGTCTCCTACTAGCCTTTTGAGGCTTGGCGAAACCGCATCATATATAAACATATAAACCCATGCATGCACATAACCGTAATTTCTTTAGCTCATCACCCTGTCATTTCTTATTATCTCATGATTTCATAACCGTAATCCTTTAGAAATTCTCCTCATGTAATTAATGGCCCCATAGACTCATCAGTCATGGGTTCCCAGGCCTTGCGCTTTCAAGGTCTAGGCGTGGAAAAGCCCTTCACAGATGTGTCTGGATTTTTTCATTGGTTTTACTATCACCTGCTTGTACAATACACATAAATTCCAGATTAATTCATTCCACACTTACTCATGTGGCCCAAAAACTTTGTTATTATTGCAACATACTCTGATCTTGTGGTGAGTGGGTACCATTATCGATTGTTCCTCAGAAGAATCCTGTTCATAATCAAGAAGGTCGACCCAAAGCGAATTCATGGTCATTTAGGTTAACCTAGGGCAAGGCAGCCGGAGTAACCAAGCATACTCTCATACGGTATCGTTCAATGAAATTACAGTTAACGATCAAAAAAAAAAAAAAACTCTCATAGGGTATTAGGATTTCCACGTATCGTATATAATGTGGTTTCCAGTGTTCTTATAGTTTGGTTTTCAATTTTCATTATATTTCTCCTTTTTTTGCTTGGTTTTCTGTGAACCAAGGAGAAGTTCACCTTACCTAAGGTTCAAATTTTCCAAGTTATATTAAAGAATTCATCATGATCATGAGTTGCACACAACTGATGAATCCTAAATATGCACCCATCAATCTCACATAAAACACATTGTCCTACCATATATGCATATAGTTCATGAATATAGGAAGGCACTAGAGGATTGTAATTGCAACACTCCCATATGAATTGGAAAATCAATGGTTAAATATTGTGGTGCCAAATGATGTTCATGAAAGAACTTCAATCAAGTGATAAATGGCAAACACACCTCTCATTAAGCAGCTGAAGGTAAACTTCATTATGAAAACTGAGAGGTTAACAATAACCTTAGCCCACTCACAAGTCATTCCCAAATAATATTTCCTCATTTGGATTTTCTTATGTGAAAATGGTTAAAATGGGGAAGTCCCAAGCTCAAGACTAGGTCGTTGATGGGCTTGCCATGGAACTAGACCACACCAATCAAATAACTCCCACTCAGCCCAACAAGGTCATACATTCAAATATTTTGAAACGAGTTTGTAGAGAGCACTAATTTTCTTTTTCAATGGGAATGGAAAGTTCCTCGTAGAAAACTTGGGTTTTGCCCGATTTATGGGTGACATTGACTACGATGAGTTTGTGGAGCACAATTGTAGTTTATGGAGTAGGAAAAACATCAATACGGTCCAAGGAAAACGGAGGGGGTGACTATCCTTTTTTTATCTTAGTGATGGTGTTATTGATTAGTCCTTGTGAAGTCGTGTTGTACTCCATACCTTTGCTTTGTTATTTCCTAAAAAATTCATGAGTTTTCTTTTTCTTTTTCTTTTTTTTGAAAATGGGAAATTCCCTCGCATAGTGTGAATTACGAACAGTTTCACATCGTGTTAACTGTATACATGTTAGCACACACAAACGAAAATGACTGATAAGGAATTATCATTAAAAGGAATTGAAACGTTAAACGAATGAGTACAATATAAAGAATTTGTACCAGAAAATTATGAAGGAAATGATATGGGGTGGTCAAAGTGTCCATCATTTGTTTAGTTTGAACGGAAGAGAATAATACAAATCTATTTCTTCTAGATCTATGGTATGAAGAGACAGAGCTTTCACTCATACAAATTCTTGCACAATGGAAACGAAATTTATCCACAATGATTTGTCGCTTTTATTAGACAGGTTCATAATGAATCCAAAAAGTTAGGTTGTTTTTTTTTGGGGTGAGTTAGGAGAGAGAGGGCCCCTACATTTTGTAAGAAATGAGCCTAGAACATAGCGTTGGAATTGTCAAGCACTAACCAATCAAACCTGGGCTCTTTTTCTAAGTTTGGTCATTTACAGTCATTGTTGTGACATTGTTTGGATGCTATCATCAGGCTATTCTATGTATCATGCTTAAACGACGGAGAGAAGAGGCACAAAGGTTTTGGAATCAGTTTAAGATGGGTGGCAAACGACCTAGATGGCCTGGAAAGCCATTAGAGATTGATTCAAAAGGTTCAAAATGGAAGCTGGTAGAGCAGATGACATTCGAGGATTTTGAAAACGCAGTGAACTTACTGAAGGAAGATATAGACATGGATAGGGCAAAGTAAAGCCTTGATTCAGCTTTCCTTCTAGATTTTATATATATTGGTTTATAGGTTTTTAGCATGTGTTTAATATTTAAAAATTTAGACACTTTTTGTTAATCGTCTTATTCAAATATGTCATCTAATATTCAAAACACTCACATTTTGTATAAGGTGTCAACTATATACTATTGAAATAACGTGTACCTCAAAACTATGCCGAAAGTGCAGCCTCAAAGCCTTGTAATGGCATGAAAATCTATTGTTTTCCCCAATTATAAAATTTAAAGTTCCAAAAATGATGATGATTAAGCAGATCTATAAATACTTGAAATTTTTGAAAATTGACAGTCCATATAATATGTTAAAAGATGATCTGCATTTAGGACTAGAAATCCCCATATTTTCACGTCTATGAATCTCAAGGTCAGGATGATCGATTTGAGGGTTTTCCAGCACTGGAATAACCTTCTCTAGTAGGTTTTTTAGGTGTACCTTACTTGTACAGTGCAAGGTTGACAACTTATATAAACTATTTTCTTTTCGTAACTTATATATGGATTTGTCATGTCTAAAAATGTTCAGGTTGAGGTCGTCAATTTTTATACTCCTATGTATGTGCAAAATGATAACTAAGATCAGGCACGTAATAATTTATAATCGCTTGTGTCTATTACAAAATGCCGGCAGCCTAATCTCGATTAAAGAGCTCTTTTCTCATTTTATTGCTATCTCTTATACTCTACTCTGAACATATTTCATTCATTATGGTATCAAAGATCTATATTCACCATTAAGTTGACCTTTTTTTTTTTTTAAATGAGAATTGGAGGGCTGGACGTTATGTTGAGGCATCTGCCCCTAACCCCTAAATGTCGCCAATTCCTTCCCCGTTAATTTTTTGTTTCTTTTCTTCTCCATCTTTTTTGTACTCATTGAGTGCTTGGATTTGCTTGTTTTTTAGTTAGGAAAAAAATAATAATTTGCCCCTGTACATGGGATTGTCTATAAACATATCATGTTTTTTTTGTACATGGAAGTTACAATCATTAAATTCTCTTAAATTTAAAAACGAGTGGTTGTAAGAATATCATTGAATTCATACAAAGTTCCCAAAAAAATTTCTCAGGTTTTGTGACTCACCCTAAGCCATCCAATTTGGCATCTAATGTGTGAGAATGATTGTGACCTCCATATACAAAAGATAAATAGTATCTTTGTAGAGACAATCCCAATATATTCGTATTATTTTCGTTTTATAGAATCCCAAGGCATAGTGACTCCATCTAGACGTTGCCCAAATTTCTTTTTTGTCGTGTTGTTTCGGTCTCTGCACCAATAAACAATCGACTAACCACTTTAATGAATACTAGTAAGAAGGAACTCAAATGACACTTTAGAACATAGTCAGCAAGTCGAGAAATAACAAAATATCGACATATCAAAATATCGGTAGTAAATCGGTTTTATTTCGAAAGGTCAGAGAAAAAATTGGTCAAAAAAAATGTTTCACCAAAAAATAAGGTAAGTTATAGAATCATGAATATTTAGGATTTGGGTCAAAAAAATGTAGCAAAAAAAATCAATAAATAAAGATGACACAATATAGGATTTTGGTCAAAAAAATGTAGCAAACAAAATCAGATATATAAAGATGACACAGTATAGGATTATGATTTGCAGCTATTATATAGATACATTAAAGCCATTAAACTATAATTTTAAAGCTTTACTAGTGCCATTAAAGTAAGGAAAGAAAACGTTTATATAAGGTTCAACCTTAAAATGTAGAATTAAAGATACACCTAAAAAATCCATCGGAGACCTGCCCATATAACATGTATTTAAAAAACCCTCTAATTGATCATCTTGACATCAAGATGCATGAATATTTTTTTTAAAAAAATTGATTTTACAACACATTATCTAGACCGTCCATTTTCAAGATTTTCATATGTTTATGGATCTACTTGATTTTAATCATTTTGGGAGTTTAAAATTTTATAATTCGATATGAAAATACATTTTCAGATAATCCTAAGATTTTTTTATACGAACATTACATGTTATGATAAAATTTAGACGTGCGCCTTAATTGGATTGTTTAAGGTTGCAACCCTATAGAACCCACACCCTTAAAGTAATACTTGGCAATTTTTTGTTGAAACTTTAAATAAATCCAACAACAATGCGTATTCTTGCCAAAGCACAAAACCTAACGTAGATTTATTGGAAGCATAAAATGAAACGACATAAACAATACTAAACATAATAACTAATTAGCAAAGTACAGGAAATTTGACCAAAGGTATAGGTTTATTTTTAAAAAAGAAAAACAAAAAACATCCATTAATTAAAAGAACACACAAAGACCCAAATATGTAAACTAGTTGTCCATTCAAAATGTTATGTTATATACACCAATGAAATAAAAAAATAAACGGAAATTATAGCTAATATACCTAATTTTTAATAAAATTGAAAAAAAAACTCCAACTTCTCAAAACCACACCCACACCCTTTTTCTCAATTTTCGTCATTGTTTGAATGAAAATACCCTTTACGGTAGTCATTTTACCGTAATACTTAGCATCTTTACAATAATATAAATACCGTTATATATTGAGTTAGTGTTACGGTATAAAGTAATACTGTACTATTTTGAATTTATATTACGGTATATAGAATACCGTAATATCTTATAAAACGTTTACGGTATTTTTTAATACCGTAATGCTCTACTTCCATCATGGTTGTTGTTCTCTTTTCAATTTGATGTGATGCGGACACATTGTTGCCAAAATTGTTGAAATAAATTTCAATTCGCATATAACAAGACATTTGAAAATTTGGTGTAGGTTTTTTTTAGTTGAATATTCAAATAGCATTGCAATGCAATAATGATGAATTTTATGCGCAAAGTAACCGTTATAAAGAAAAGATTTCCTCTCTCTACTAACCATTATCTAACTGTTTGGCATTCCTTTGCCTTCGCATAATAAATCAGTGGGCAATACAACACACATTTGCTGCATACACTGCTCAGCCGACGTTTCAGCACATTACGGTAATCATATTACCATATAATTTGAAGGAAGTATGATGTACCGTAATGTCATGTGAAAATAATACGGTAATTAAATTAACATATAAACTCCCTTCTTTATAACAGTATATATATTATCGTATAGACTTTTGTAAATATTACCTGTAAATATTACCGTAATTCTATTTGCAGTAAATAGACTAACATAAAGGGCATTTTCGATAAAAAAAACCCAAAAGAGGGAAAAATGGTATAGGCGAGGTTTTGAGAAGTTGAGAGTTTTTTTTCCAATTTTATTAAAATTTAGGTATATTAGTGATAATTTTCCAAAAATAAAATAAAATATGAAATTAATTAAACTTCTATATGCATAGAAAAAAAAAGAAAACAACAACAGCCCTTCTAATGCTTCTCACGAGGCCATGAGTGAAGTTTCAAGTAAGCTTCTCTAGGATTGAAGTTACACAAAGATCCAAATATGTAAAATCATCCAAAATGCTATATTGTATACACCAATGACATAAAAAATAAAAAATAAAAAATAAAAAATGAAATTAATTAAACATCTATATGCATAGAAAAAAGTAACAAAATGCTTAAAAAATTCGAATCTCGCATTGAATTCCTAGCTACCTAAATCTTTAGTATAATTGAATCTATCTCTCTTACTCTTTATAAGGACGTTATGGGTTTAAAGGCAAAAAAGATTTTTTATTGGGTTACTCTGCTTCTAATTTTACATATTATTTCGAGATTTGTGATTGTTTTGATTACTTTTTTGGGGAATATAGTGCTTATATTTTTCGTATAATTTTGTAAAAATAAACTCAATGGCGAAAGTTCTTATGGGAATTTTTGTTAAATCAAGATTCCTAATTTACTTCCATTGTCTATTAATGTACTTATCTTTAAACTAAAATTCTATAATTTTAAATTAATGAATAAATAAAATTATAGGGAAGAAGTTTTGTTTTTTTTGAAACGTTTTTTCTAAAAAATGATAAAATACATATCTAAATCTACTAGAAAAACATGATTTTTCTAAGATCTTTTGAAAAACTCGGAGTTCTTATTGGATTTCAAAAAAATTGAAGATTTTTTTGTGGAGGTCATGTTTTAAACATAGACTTGCTTACTATGCTTTAGACTTCACATCGAATAGAACAATTTATCGAAATAAAATTTAATAAATTACATATAATATTATCGATTGTATTAGAGTAACTTGTCGTCATAAGTTTTTAACATCCTATTATTCTATTTATCAAAAAAAATTCATATAAGGTTAACACTTTAAAGTGTAGAACTAAGGTGCAGCTCTAAAATCCTTGAAAATGTCATTTTGAGGTTGGAAAAACATCTAATTGATAACCTCGATGCTGAGATTTGTAGTTATGGAGAATAAAAGAGATTTTAACTCTTGAAAATAGTAAAGCGTGCAACACATTATTTCGAACATTCATTTTCAAGATTTTCATGTGTTTATAGAGGAGCTTGATTTGAACCACTTTTTGAATTTAAAATTTTATAGTTAGAGATAACTAGTAATTTTATCCATTAATTGTATTTATTTAATAATTCTATGAATTAGTCAATAGTAAAATTAATGTTAAATAGCTAATACATGCAAACATAGTGACATATCAATTGTCCAACTTATAGGGTAAAACTTTTTTGTCGCCACCACTAGTAATATGATGTGAAAGTAAAATCGATTATTTGCATTTGCTCCCCAACATTTTTAGAAAATACAGGGTGCTTTTATAAATATGATTTGTAAATTTAAGAACTATAATGCTACAAAGTGTAAATAAAATAATTCAAGACAAACGAAACTTAGGGTCACATTAGTTTATCTCATTGACAAATAAATAATGATAAAATGTTAAATTTATAGTAAAAAAATCAGGTTATTAACAAAATGGAGAATTAACCATAGACAATATTAGGGTAATAAATTAATTATGGATTTTTTCTAGAAATCCTATACTTATCTATTAATTTTATGAATACTAAAATTATTGGTAAAGAAGGTTGAGAAAAACTAGGACTCGAGCGATCTTTCCAGAAATATCTCTTTATAGGTTCAACTCTATCTTTTATCTTCTTTTGTTTTTTTTCTTTATTGTTAACACTAACTATCATTAAAAAAATGAGGTACAGCTCCG